CGACTTTGTACTCAAGATGTGTCTGAACTGATGAAGTAAGTTTGATGACTTTGTACTCAAGATATGTCTGAACTGACAATGTAAGTCTGACAACTTTGTACTCAAGATGTGTCTGAACTGACGATGTAAGTCTGATGACTTTGTACTCAAGATGTGTCTGAACTGATGAAGTAAGTTTGATGACTTTGTACACTGAGCTTGTAGTCACACTTTTCATCTTAAAGACTTCTATTGGTGATACAAACTAAATGAATGACAAAACATTGTATTTAGAGAAGCAGTACAAGAGTTTAAAAAGTTGAAAACAGACTTAAAATTCAGAGATAGTCTTTGAAAGTTGTAAATTACTTAATTGGTAAGTTGGCATTCAAATATAACACATTAATAAAGGCAACTGAGTATTTTTCACCCATTAAAAGGTATTACAGAAATTAACAAAATTAGATAAGATCTGAAGATGGTGGAATTGGGAAAAGGGAAAATATTAGATCAATGGGAATTGGGAGCAAATTCTTACTGGTCCAGTGATTGATCATAGAAGTAGCACGTGGATGATTCATCTTTTCCACAGGAAACTATAATTATTTAGTCCTGTGCACTTTTAAAGAATGATTGAAAAGGTAATTTATTTCATGTCATTAAAGTTGAGGCAAATTTATTTCAATTTGTTACTTTGCAAAAAAGAAAAAAGTTCTATGCTTCTGATATAATTAGCTGTAGAAGTATGATTGGATGGGGATTCTGTGTGGTGGATATGAAGTTACATCGTTTCTACAACAATAATCTTTGTTCTTAGAAACTTGAACCTGTTCTGTATTGTTAACATAATGTGAGAACCCATGTTGTATTGTTAACATAATGTGAGAACCCATGTTGTATTGTTAACATAATGTAAGAACCCATGTTGTATTGTTAACATAATGTAAGAACCCATGTTGTATTGTTAACATAATGTAAGAACCTATTCTGTATTGTTAACGTAATGTAAGAACCTATGTTGTATTGTTAACATAATGTAAGAACCTATTCTGTATTGTTAACATAAGAACCCACGAGTCTTATAAATTACATCTTTCATATCCAATGCCGAAGAGGCCTTACTGATACCAGGGCTCATTATATTGGTAGCATAGAACCTGTGCTGTATTGTTAACATATGTAAGAGCCTATGCTATATTGTTAACATAGAACCTGTGCTGTATTGCTAACATATGTAAGAACCTATGCTGTATTGTTAACATATGTAAGAACCTATGCTGTATTGCTAACATATGTAAGAACCTATGATGTATTGTTAACATATGTAAGAACCTATGATGTATTGTTAACATATGTAAGAACCTATGATGTTAACATATGTAAGAACCTATGCTGTATTGTTAACATATGTAAGAACCTATGCTGTATTGCTAACATATGTAAAAACCTGTGCTGTATTGCTAACATATGTAAGAACCTATGGTGTATTGTTAACATATGTAAGAACCTATGATGTATTGTTAACATATGTAAGAACCTATGCTGTATTGTTAACATATGTAACAGCCTATGCTGTATTGTTAGCATATGTAAGAGCCTATGCTGCATTTTTAAGAACCCAAGAGTAAAAGCAAAGGAGAAAATCTTGTGTGTCAACCAGACTAATATTATGTTGTTAATGTGTGTTTAAGGTCTATACTGTATTGTTAACAAGAGTAAGAATCTATATTGTATTTTCTAAAGGTACAAAAACCCTACACAGCTGAAGAGCATGCCACTGCCCTGCAACTGAAGTTTGAAAACCATGTGTATCACAACCAGAAGCTGCTAGACTGTTCTAGAAAAGGTTTGAGAAAAATGTGAAGTATTGTACAAAAACCGCTATAATTTCTTTTATAACTCGAAGAAATATTTGTAGTATTTCTCTGAATTTATGTCAAAGGAGTTGAAAATAATGTTTATAATTTAAATTATAATTTATTTGTATTTTTAGTTAAAAATTTTTTTTCTTTCTAATTTTACATTTTTCAGCTTTTGTCTCCTATGTCCGATCGTATGCCTCGTATCCTAAGAACTTGAAAGAAATGTTTCCCTTTAAAGCTCTTCACTTGGGTCATGTTGCAAAAAGTTTCTGTCTTCGAGAAGCTCCATCGGTTCTTGGAATTAAGGGAGTAGAAGTGAGAAGCAAAGAGAAACACTTCACAAAGCAAAGGCTGTAAGTTTAACTTCGAATGTTTGACTAATAGAAGCTGCAAGTTTAAAAATTATATTTTTTTAGTACTAGAAGCTACAAGTTCAACAATTAATAACTGAATACTTTTGAAACAATGCTTTTTCCTAAAGCCTTCAAACATTAGAAATTTTCTTTTGACTGTGAAAACTTAAAGATATTTAAAATAAGCACTTACTCATTCCGTGTTCTAGATGTAAAACAAATACTTTTTGAGATTTTTATAGTTTGCTTGCATGTGCTCATTACATTTAATCTTCAAATTAATCATATATATGAGCATCATAAATGAATTTCAAGAGTTTTAGTAACATTTTCGTAACTTAAAAAGGGTTCTAGTCATATGACGGTTTTGTGTAAAACTCAATAATTAAATCTGGAAAGTACATTAATATAAAGGTGCAGCTTGCATGTTCAAAAATATATTAATAAATGTTACCTTGATACAAAGGAAGATCTTGAAACTTTGTAATCAGCTAGTAATGTAATATAAAAATATTTGAATAGAAATAGGATTTGTTTAATTTTTAAATCCAGCTTTTTTCTGAAATCGATTAAAGGCTTAACTTACACTTATAGTTCTGCTGTAAATATTTTGAGATAAAAGGTTATTTTAAATGTCCTTCTTTCTTTGGATGTTTGTAAATCTTGTGCTTAAATGCAGAAAACACTTGAAGTGTGTTGTATTATTTAAACAAAACATTCACTCACCCTAAAAGTACTATATGTATGGTAACAAAAATTTCAAACTTATAAATAACAATTTTGAAATCATTTTTATAGTTTATAAGCATTTAAAGTATTATAACCTAATTATGACAAAATAACTTTGTGTGTTTGTTTAAACTTTGTCAAGGGTGTATAAAAAGAATTGTAAACTACTTTTGAAAAGTAAGTATTACGCAGATAACTAATGCCAGTGTTAAATATTTATTTAAATATTTTGAGTGTAAGTTTTTTCTTCATGATGCTCTCAGAGATAGTTAAACTAATTATAAGTTCTGATTTATTTTGAAAACAGGTAAAATTTTAGTGCTGCTATCTGTTGTTTGTTTTTGTTTATATTTAAGTCAACGTTCATATATTCCTCACTATTAGTTTATCATTATGTGAAAATAACAGAAGACTGTAAAATAAAGTGGATGTCACACATTGAAGTGTGGAATTCTGCTTTTGTTACATGTTTCACTCATTTAAAAAAAATTACATAAAACTAATAAAAATTTATGGTTATTTTATCACAAGTTACAGTAAGAAAGATTTGTTTTTAAAAAACAGGTAGACGTTACACTCACTGGTGCAATCATTCTCAAGTACACCAGTTTTAACGGTAAAGAAAGTTCTAGTATTTAAATCAACAAGCTAACAATATTTAAATTTTAGAATTGATAGTGATTACCTATGCATGTGTATATATCAATACGTGCGAATTGACGGACTCATTTATAAAAAATATGGAACATGTGATGCAAAATATTTTCTTAAGATTAGGAATGTCATGGGGGAAATAACAATGAAAGACATGTAGAGATGTGCCTGTTAATTGCGGGATTGTTTGATTTTATTAATAGAGCTTCTCTGATTTTAATTCTGCTAATGTCAGGGTCGTGTATTAGTACTGTAAACATAAGTAAATCTTCCGTACTGTAAAAACTGTAACTTGTAATAAAATGTTACTTAAAAAGTATGCTTGTTTAGTTCAGTGGTTCCCAGACTTTTGGTAATCACTGACCAGTAAAAACATTTTTGGGGACCCACGTTCCAAATAAAATATCTGTTAATTACATGAGTAGAATAATACAATATTTACAAAAAAAAACACAATTTATTTCAAAAAGAAAAGGTAGACTTCGGCGACTTTTATTCATCAAATATTGAGAGAAACGTAACTAAGTGTGTCAGTGCTTTCAACAGCCGAGACACGTTGTGGACCGGTAGAAATTAAGTCAGGGACCGACGTTTGGGAAACACTGGTTTAGTTGGTTTGTAAGAGATTAAAAATTACTGGGAAAAATATTTTTTATTACATTTGGTAAATTCTTAATGTCAATCTGTTTCTGTTAGAAATGGTAGTTTCTTAATGATATCTGTTTCTACCTGTGACTTACAGAGACAAGGGTTTCAAGAGATCATCATCACAACAGTTTTCAGAATTTGACAGTGGACTTGGTCAAGGCACTGCAAAACATAGAAAAACCACCAAGAAAAAAAAGGTGTTAAAGAAGCCAAGAAAACCACAGTTTAGAAGACATTGACCTGTACTTTTTTTTTTGTAACAACAGTGTTCTTAAATGTGTAAATAAATTATTTCTAACTTGACATCATTTTTTTCTGTGAATTAACTTTTGAATAGATATAGAATGATAGAAATATCATCATGTTAAAAAAGTCAATAAAGAGATGAGACAGTATTATAAACTGGATTACCATGATAAAAAAACCAACAGTGGGGGGTAAGAGCACTATAATCTGGATTATTATTTTATCAAGATAATCCAGATTATAGTGCTCTTACCCCCCACTGTTGGTTTTATCATGACAATCCATTTTATATTATTTTATCAAGAGCTCTTACCCCACTGTTGGTTTTTTTTATCATGACAATCCAGTTTATATTATTTTATCAAGATAATCCAGATTATAGTGCTCTTACCCCCACTGTTGGTTTTTTTATCATGACAATCCAGTTTATAATTATCTTGATAAAATAATATAAACTGGATTGTCATGATAAAATAGTATTATAAACTGGATAACCCAATATTCTAAAAACTGGAGCCTAGCCTGTCTTTCCAAATCTTAAACTTGTGTTTTCTTAATCTGTTGTTTTCAGAATATTTTGTGAATGGCATGTTTCTGGACGTTACATGTGAAATAGGACAGTATTACATGTTTATATATATTATAGTAATATTCATTTTAAGTTTATTGTAGATATAGAAAACCGTATAAATATTTTATTTCTTAAAATCCACCAAAGCATTGGCTTGAGTAATGAACTCGTATTATAATAAAAACGCCATTTGCATCTCCAGAGAAACATTTAACAATAAATACAGTTGGACGGTAACCTTGTTCAAGAACTTGCGACAGACAAATAGATGCTGTTTCCAGATCACGAAAAATAGTAACAGCTGAAGCCTTGATGAAAAAGCAAGTCTGGAAGTGTAGGTGATGGTTTTGTTTTAATATAAATATTTTGGTTTTAAAATGAGGACAAACAATACAGTTATCGTTATAAGTATTTTTTTATATATTTCTTATAAGTATTTTTACAGTGAGTGATTGATACCTTTAAGTACAAGAAATATACAAACCTTCAAAAAAGTGTAAGTCTCAAGATGTAGTTTCGTAATCTGGATTTTGAGCTGATTATCTCTTTTCAATCCTTTTTTTTTTTTTTTTGTAGAAGATAGGCAAAGCATAATATGAAAAACGAACTTTAAAATGTCCCCATCGCTAACAAATTTAGATTGAAGCCAAACACAAGGAAAGGCACGCAGCTGCTAAGTGGTCCGATATATCTAGCGCCACCTATTGAACGTTTGTACACAATATTTGAGATAGATAAGAACGCTAGATGGAAATAATTAATATTCGGTACATTTTCTGTGTTTATATTAGTTTTCTTTAACAGTTTAGTTACAGAACGTAGCTGTTTCTGGGTTTTGTTTTTGTTTATTAAGCACAAAGCTACATGATGGGTTGCATGTGTTGTGCCCACCCCGGTATCAAAACCAGATATTTTTCATTATAACCCTTCAGACTTACTACTGAGCCACACTTATGGGCTGCTATAAACAATTTTAACTACAGAAGAGCATTGCTTCTAGGCTGTCAGAAACTGGATTTTAATGAACCTTCAGACTTACTACTGAGCCACACTTATGGGCTGCTATAAACAATTTTAACTACAGAAGAGCATTGCTTCTAGGCTGTCAAAAACTGGATTTTAATGAATTCGAAAGGTTAAAATAATACTTCTAATCGACGACACTTATAACCTACTTTTTTCAATAAATTAATATCTTATTTCGTAGTAGCAAGAAAAACTTAAGTTTCAACTTATTATTTAAGCGTGACTAACAAACACCATATCTGCTAACATTTCTGTTATGTATTAGGCCTTTTAGAAAACTTTGCTTAGTTTTTTACTAGCTATTTTCCATAATAACGGTGCACTCAGAAAGGAAAATATACTCAATTCCAAAACTAACTAGTGTCCTTCTCACACTAAACAGTGTTAACTCTAGAGTAGGAGAGAGCAGAGCAGAGCCGAATTTTCAGTACGTACTTTCAATGAACGAATCTTTGCGTTAAACGACCAAGTAGGAGACACCAAGTCTTGAAATAATAACCAGAAGGAAGGCAGCACTCGCCATCAGAGGGCTTTGTTAGGCTTCGAACCAAGTAATGGGGTTGACATTCAATATAGTGCAAACTATAGGTGAATGTGCGGAACATATTCAACGTCTCGAACAAGGAGACACCAAGTCTTGAAATAATAACCAGAAGGAAAGCAGCACTCGCCATCAGAGGGCTTTGTTAGGCTTCGAACCAAGTAATGGGGTTGACATTCAATATAGTGCAAACTATAGGTGAATGTGCGGAACATATTCAACGTCTCGAACATGGGACCTTTAGATCCACAGACTGGCTAAAGAGAGTTAAAGATAATCAGAAAAATCTGCTTCTAAGTTCCTTGCTACCAAATTGTAGAGTAAATCTGGAGATTTTCAAACAGTTTATATAACTGGTCACCAGTTCACGCCTATAATTTTTTTTTAACTCTCTATGATTCGGAATCTTCCATTTTTTGAAAATATAGAGAAAATCCCTTAATCAAATAATGCCGCTGTATCTTTGTGAAAACTGAATTCTTTCAAGAGTAACTTGCAGAATAGTATAAGAAGATTAAGGAGTAGAAACTTCTAATAAACTGATTTACAGTATTTATGGTACAATAAGGAATAACTGGAAAAACTACTTTCAACTTCCCTATATAAGAAAAAGTAAGTTTAAATTCCCACCTGAGTATCGCTACATCTTGAAATAGATTTCGGGTAACATTCTGAAGTCTAGACTCTAGTAAACTTAGTAAATAAAGTAGAGCAGTTTCCTAGCAACGAGAACATTTCTTGAACTGCCGAAGTCAATTTCAACAATGACGTAAAAATGAATATTTACACAAAGTATCGCTGAATTTAACTTCTTATGAAACCCTTTATCGTTATAAAAACGTGAGAAATAAGGTGTAAAAATTGTCACGTGCTAACTACTAGTGCATACGTGTGTATGAATTCAGAATAAATATATTCGATAAATGAAAAATATTTGATGATATATCGTTCGTAAGAAACGTCTCCTTTGAGAATTTGCTTAATTTCATACGGTTTCAAGACTGTTTGCTTGTTGAATTTCGCGCAAAGCTGTCACTGATTTTGAGCTTATAGACTAGATTCACTAGAAGGAAGGCAGCTAGCTAGTCAACATTGTTGTCAAGTCTCGCAACAAAAACAAACGGCACTGCCGTTAAAAACTGCTATTTATGGCCTACCTTCTAAAACGGCAACTTGAATGTGTCAAGTGGGCGAGTCCAAAAGTTCACGATTGTGGGTGAGTTTCTTATTTAAACAGGAGAGAGGGTAGGATAATTCTATATTGTAATAATGTGGGCTATTCATTGGCCCAGTCCATCACTAAAACCAGCTATTACCAAATAAAACCAAATAAGCGACCTCGGAATAAAACAAGCCTAATTACGCTTGTTGCAAGCGGACTTACAACACTGTTAGACAACAATACCTTCAGTGAACGCTTGAGCTTTTCTTCTCTGACCGAATAGTGAGATTCGACCGTCGCTCTTATAACGCACCCACTGCCCGAAAGTGCGGAGCATGATTTGTTTTGCCGATAAATAAAGCTGGAACCTCGGATCTACAGTCCGGCACGTTTCAAGACTTAAAAATTCCCATTTGTTCTCTAGAAGGATTTAGCATTATCTGTTTATAAAATTATTGAATGAAGTAAAACGATGACTGTTCTTTTTATAACACTAGAACGAACAACTTACCGCTAGCACAAGATATAGTAATTTTCATTTTTATGTTACAAAATAAAAGAGATTAATACTTTTTTATGATTTATTAGTAATGGACTAAATAACAATGGTCTTTGTTTGGGTTTTAAGCTAAAATCCGTCGAATTTTGTAAAAATATCTTGTTTGTTTTTGAATTTCGCGTAAAGCTACACGAGGGCTATCTGCGCTAGCAGTCCCTAATTTAGCAGTGTAAGACTAGAGGGAAGGCAGCTAGTCATCACCAACTCTTGGGCTACTCTTTTACCCACGAATAGTGGGACTGACCGTCACATTATAACGCCCCCACGGCTGAAAGGGCGAGCATGTTTAGTGTGACGGGGATTCGAACCTGCGACCCTCAGATTGCGAGTCGAGTGCCGTAACCACCTGTTTATGCCGGGCCTAAAAATATCTTTATTCACTGTCCAAGAATTTAGTAATTTAGTAATATGTTAATTATACCAATATAAACGCATAAAATTAACCAGTTTCTTTACAGCCAATGAACAAAAAATATGTATTCACTCTTTCACCACCTTATATACTTCAAACAACCGATTTTAAATATAAAAATATTGTCTTTGTTTTTTTTTACTTCTTCAAAGTTAATCGCTTACATTTTTTTTTTTCGGTTTCCTGACTATTTAAATATTAGCATTTTTACAGCGTTTTTAGTCGTTTGATTTTTTAAAAAAGCCACTAAATTAGTACGAGCATTATAGTCTCATTGGACTAATTCGAACCTAGTAATCTCACTAGGCTAATATTGTAACTTGCCTAATCCTAATATTATAATTCCGCTTAGCTAGTTAATTTTTGACCTATGACCGAACAATATATTTTTTTTAACTTCTACCAAGTAACAAAAATAAATATTTTTTAAAGTTACAGATGATACGGGAAATTGGCCCATTGTTGTAACAATAGTTCGTAGTTTCATTGTTACAAAAAATAAAACTTTTCTGAATTAATTGGAACCGATTTCATTTTGATGAGCTTTTACTACTTCCGATGATAAACAGATCTGCGTCAGTTTCTTTTAGCGCGAAGCTACATAATTGGCTACCTGCGCTGTGTCCACTTCTGGGATCGAACTCCTAATTTTATCATCATAAGCTCTTAGGTTTACGGTTGAGCCCTCAGATGACACTAACGAAATAAAATTTTCTGCGGATTCAAGTAAGAACAAGTTACAATGTATAATCTCCCGTGGTTGGCCATTTTGGATAGTTCCGCGTTTTGAAGAGTTCTTAACAGTTTAATAAAATCAAACGGTATCAATTTTTCGATTTCGTTCCGTAAAATATTTGTCATCGGTTGAAAAATAGCGTTACCGCTTTCTAAAACTGACCATGCTACGAGTTCATTATAAACGTGTAACAGTTAAAGTTCAACTGATAGCAATCTTTTTTTTTTTTTTGTAATCTGGTAACATTTAACAAAAAACGCAATTTCTACTACACACGTTTTATATAAAGTTCCTGTACTCGCTTTGGTCACACTTACGTAGAAGGCACAAACACCCAATGGGAATTTTTAAGTACAATTTACTTTCTATATACAGTTCCTCACTATTCATGAAGTTTGGCACGCAAGTACAATGGTTTCGAGTGGTGTTAAAAACTAACGAATTTATTTCTAAAAAGACTTTTGAAATGTAGCTTTCCTTCTGAAACTTTACTACCAATATAACTGTATTTTACAGATAAAACTTTCGTGTTAACAGACGCGAAACTTGCGGTCGGAGGTCCTGGTATATTTTTAATGATTTGTCTCCAACCCAGATATTTTACAGCTTCAACTCTGTAATTTTGTTTGTCTGTCCCCTGCAGGTAAGTCTTGTTTTCAATCCGCTTATTGAAACAAAGTTAGGACAGCTAGATAATTGTAAAATATTTTCATGTCTAGTGGTTCGAGCAGGAGAAGCAAAAACTGGATTACTACAGAAAAGTCGAATATCTAAGTAGTGGTCGTCTTACGAGTCCTAGATAAGGCCCGTAGAGAAGTTGCAATTATCAAAAAATGTTTAGTTGTGACAGTTAGCGGTTTACTTCAGCCAGTGGAGAAACTGTCTAACGTGTGGGAGGTATTGCGTTCAATTCCCTACCCCTCAGGAGTTGCATAAAATGGGGTAGCCATACACACGTGCCCTGCATTAAATCTGGAGGTAATTGAACCTTGGTCTTGTTATTTAACATGACGATAAGGTAATTACTGTATACGTAATGTACATGCATATCTTTAACTGCTTTAACCTTTTTTTTTGGTAAAACTAATGAGTTTATCACTATATTTTCCTTCACATACTTAAGGATTATATAGAAACAGTAGTAGTTAACAAAAAAAAAGCAGTATTTAAGTCCAAAAACATTTTCATTATTTCATCCACTAGTCACGTGCTATTTTGTGGAAGTTGTAAGATGTACAGATAGGATCGTTTGGCGCTAATTAGTTCAGCTTCCTTCTGCCTTTTGTTACGTCACTTTCACTATAATGTAACACGTTTCTTTGTTCATGTGGCTTATAATGTGTACAAAAAGATGACGTCTTATTAAAGTTTTCAATCACAAGTGATGACAGGGTGAATTTCAAATAACATAATAAAGTGTCACATTTTTACTGATATTGAATAATTAAGTAAGCGCCAGCTTCCCTGTAATAAGTGACTTATGAATGTATTTAGTGTTCTCTTTCTCTAAATTATCATTCTAAACCACAGTTCCATTCGTAGTTTCAACGGGAGGTGGCGTAATCTCAACCCCAATGACTCCACGAACTGGAATTCTTAATTTACCGCCTTCTATTCGTTCATCCTGATGTGGGTCATCATTGTTTTGCCCAACAGATGTCGCTCCAGGTAAAACTCTCTCCTGGGATGCTTGAAGATTAGCGTCATCACGTGGTTGTTTCGATTTTTTAACCCTGATTGAGCCACGAGTGAGAAATATTTTCTTTGTAGGGATGGGACTAGGCCTAATTAAATACCTGAAGAAAAACGATTCAAAAATATCAAAAAATGACAATCAATATCAAAATACTAAGAGGTAATTCGAAATTTCAAATGATTTATTGTTAAATTTTCTCATAAAAATATAATGATACTTAGCAAAATATAAATCACAATACAAGTACAGACACGATGACCATATATATAATTTTCAAACCTTTTTTGTTATTTTAGTTAGACATCTTATTGGGGGAAATTAACAACTTGGGTGCTAATTTTAAGAATGCGAACACTTTCTAATTTAACACCACTGTTTCAAGTAATGTTCAAAGCTGTCTTTAATTTTATAATGATAATTCCAGTATGAACTTACACGACATCTCCTTCCAGGAGTTTCAAATCGCAGCTTGGATTCATCATAACGAAAGAAAGACTATCTCTCGTCTCTGAGACGTCATCTAGAATATCAAACGTTTATCAGAAAGTGTCAACAATAAACTGTAACTCGACAGAACTGTTAATAACTACTGTGAAACGCAGCACGGTAAAGCCAGATGTTCAATTGTTAGCTTAATTATTTAGAAAAGAAACACAAACGTTTATCAGAAAGTGTCAACAATAAACTGTAACTCGACAGAATTGTTAATAACTACTGTGAAACGCAGCACGGTAAAGCCAGATGTTCAATTGTTAGCTTATTTATTTAGAAAAGAAACACGAAACGTTTATCAGAAAGTGTCAACAATAAACTGTAACTCGACAGAATTGTTAATAACTACTGTGAAACGCAGCACGGTAAAGCCAGATGTTCAATTGTTAGCTTAATTATTTAAAAAAGAAACACGAATTTTTAACAGCTTCTTCATAAACATTTCACTATTAAAACTCGTTAATAACTGAGATTGACGCTGGGGTAATTTCTGTGGCGGTGGGTGCTTGAAAATCATTGAAAGAAATCGAAACCCCCTGTACCCCCAACACCCCCTAGTTCCCGTGCCCTTACTGCTAAAACGCCCCCCAGTAGCACAGCGGTATGTCTGCGGACTTACAACGCTAGAAACCGGGTTTCGATACCCGTAGTGGGCAGAGCACAGATAGCCCTTTGTGTAGCTTTGTGCTTAATTTCGAAACAAACAAACAATACTGCTAAAACGATCAGATAGAAGCTGATAAGTTAAAACGTAATACTCCCTTTTTTAAATATATATTATGTGTTTTAAAACTGTGTTTTGTTAGTTGCATCGTACTCTACTAACCAATTTTTCTCCAGTAGACAACAGCTATTAACAAGTTTTTATCATGTATTGTTCTGAGCTGTCTTTGTTTTTAAGTGAATTTGACTTGAAGGTTGATTTTAAAGGCTTAGGATGCCTAGATCACTTAGAGAATAGTAGGCATGTGTTGGATGTTCACATGTCACGTGAAGACATCGGGACGCGTATCCCTTTAGTTAATTTGTTCGTTTGTTATAAAGCACAAAACTACACAGTGGACTTATTTGTGCTCTGCCATCGCGGGTATCGAAACCAGACTTTTAGCGTCATAAGCTCACTGGCTCACCGCTGAGCCATCGGAGGGAGGGGGTTAAGAATCCCTTTCTCTTGCAATACGCTGGATGTACATGTGAAGACAGAAAGACTCAAATGCCTTTTAACTCACACGCGCCATAACATATACAGGAAGACGCCGAAACTGGAATCCCTTTAAGTAATTGGCAAACGCCAGATGTATACAGGAAGACAGTAGGACTTGAATCCTTTTATATTTTACGCGCTGGGTCTACACAGGAAGAATCCCTACAGCTTGCACCTGTCGGGTGCACATGGGAATCCCTTAAGCCTGTACTCGTACAACTGATCCATAAATGAAGTCGAACACTAAAACTTGACATCTTCATTCAAAGAGCTTCATCCGTTCATGTAAGAAATGAGTGGACTTTAGATCTTCATCAGGATGAAAAAATCCCATAGAGAACAGTACTAGGCATGGGCGCCCGCAGGAAGGGTATTTGCCATCTTTACATTTCATACATAACTGTACGTATTATGATGTAAACTTAACATCTTAGTTCAACTATATATTTTGATTAATCTTATTATTATTAGTTCAACTAAATATTTTAATGCAAATTTATGTTTGCGTTTATGCACGCATAACATATATATCTTTTTAGTCTGTCGACTTACACTGTAGAATCTGATTCCCTATTTAAACATGTTTGCCCCTCCCCCTAAAAATATTTCAGTGGGGGCCCATGGTATCAGTAGACTTGTCTTTAAGATGAAACATATACCTTCAGTGAAACAAATGAGTTTATTCTTTGTATCACAGATTAATTTGTGACTTCTATAAATATTCAGCGAGTCAATTAAAGTTCGTTTATCCCCCCCCCCCCCCGTTAGTTATGTTGTTATGAGTATGTGCCACTAAAAACAACAATAAAGTTAGGATTTACAAACCATAATCTTCCAGTGGCAATCCAAGGTTGTGCATTCGTGCTCTCACCATGTTACTGATTTCCTGTCTCTCCATGTGCTCAGTCAGAACAGATCTGTCACTATCCAGTAGCTCAAGGGACAGCTGGTGATATGAAGATAATGTTATGATGAGATACGTGTTTATTAACTAGAACTGCTGTGTCTTTCTCGAACGTTAACCTTAGTACGATCATTCATTCGACAATAAATTGGCCTTAATTCAATGACTAACTGAGAAATATTTTATTCATTACCATCATTAGATGTCTTATACAAATACATTCATGTAGATATACACTGACTAGACACTTTTCTAGGGCCCTACCCAAAAATTAGGCTGGACCAACTTCCAAATGCAAGAAAGTTCAACACGAACCTTATAGTTTGTAACTGGTTCATATATGCCTGTAGATAATTATTGTGGCAAATGTGACGTTCATCTTTACCCCAAAGACACTTAATCGGATGAGACCATATTATTGCATTGGCTTATGACACCATGGAAGTCACTGTCACAGTCTTACCAGTGGTAGATGTATTCCCCCTTTGAACAGCCATTTATGGAAACGGTCTTTGATAAAGACGCTTCTGCTAGCTGAGCGACCATCACACCCCTTTGCGAAACCGAGAGACTCTTGCTCTTATACAATGTCTTCTAAACTATCCATGATATTACTACATATCCGTGTTTACAGGGCTCAAACAAGCACATGACACTTTATATGATAAGTCCATTTAGTATACATAAATAAATGGACAGTTTACTTACGTATATGTGGGTGGAGGTGGGTCTTGATATAAATGTAAGCCAGTGTATAAAATCTCTATCTCGCTAGTTTCGTTACTTACGGAAGATATGTCCGTCGACGAGCTTTGGGTTCGAAAAATTCCTATCGGTATTTCACAAGTTGTGGAACAAAGTTTTTGGTAAAGACGTCCATATGTTCTGATCCAAAGATCTTCTTCTGTTATTTTTATCTATTCTCAATGAAAAAACCAACAAGATGAAACACTATCTAAATTGACTGTTTTTTTTTAATTCTTCTCAAAAATGAGTAGTTAGTTTATTGGCAGGTTTACCACTATATAGGTAACGTGCGTTTTAGGGTTACGATTTCCTTTTAAAATAATATTTGTTAGTTTTAAAAGTTAAAATCTAACAACTAACGAGTATGCTGTGGTACCAACGGAACAGGGCTTGCTTGGAGATTTAACTTAGTTAGAAAAGATCTGTTCATAAATAAATACTGACCAATCACGATAGTTATAAAGTTTATTTTCTCACATTTATAGGAGAAAAATATACCTCTCATTCTAGCTTGTATCTGTTTATTTATTTTCTAGAATCTTTGCGCAAAGCTACACAAGGGTTATTTGCGCAAAGCTACGCAAGGGTTATTTGCGCAAAGCCGTCACTAATTTTGAGCCGATAGGCCAGAGTTAGAAGGCGTCTAGTCAACAACGCCTTCCGTGAACTCTTGGGTAACTCTTCTCTAACAGAATAGTGAGATTTGACTGTTTCACCTACGGCCTCAAAGTACGGAGTTTTTGCGACAACGAGACGCGAACCACGAATCATCGGATTCACAGCTCATGGAAAACAAAAAAAATTAATCTGATGACACTTAGACTTAGTACCTTCGAGAAACCAATTTAATATGTTATCCTTTTTTTCTATCTTTACCTCCCTCGAAATCTTTGCCTAATATTCGTACAAGCTAGGCCGCGTGTGGTCTGGTGATTAATGTGCCAGGACAAGACACAAGTGCTGTATTACAGGAAAGGAAACGTCGTATACGGGTTATCATTCGAAAAATCGTCTACTTTTCTATTTTTGCAAAGTATTTTCCTTTAATTCCTTCTAGAAACGGGTGTATTTACAATGAATGTTATTTTATAGTTTTTGGATATTCGCGCGAAGCTACACAAGAGGTGTTTGTACCGATTTTCAACTGACAGATTAGTGGGAAGGCAACAGTTAACAGCACCCACCTCTTGGCCTACTCCAATAGAATAATGAGATTTGACCTTCATTTTGATAACATTCACAGCCCAAAAGAACGCAGCACACGATTGTTTCGACAACGGGACACGAACCGTGAGTCCTATGATCCACATTTCGGCACGCTAACCACTAGGCCACACCCGGTTCAGTATTTAAAGTAAAAAAAAAGAGAATTATAACCCGTAAAAGGAAAGGTTGTACCTGTAATACAGCACTTGTATC